TAGTAATAATTAATAAAAATATTCACATGTTTTATTCTCTGAATTTATTAAAAATATTAATTTGTTAGTTAATTAAATGATATTAATAATTAGTAATGAAATAATTAAAAGAAAACAAAATAAAAATAAGAATAAAAGAAGTAATGAACCAGGGGGGTATTCTGGGCCCATGGGAGGTTAGTGAAGCAATTTGGCCCATTAAGAATCAGGCCTGCTTTGACTTTCTGGATGGTCTACGCTGGCTTTGACTGGAGAACATGGTGGTCAACCATCCTTGGCCTTTGGATGGACGCTTGAGGACACATGGCACATGGATGCATAGAGGCACATGGTGTACCACCCTTGGAAAGTTGCATGCAAATATGAGAAGAAAAATAATATAATGCGTTTGGGGGGACCTGGGAATCGAACCCAGGTCCCAATGGTGAACAAACGCGCCTTCCACCAACTCAACCACCTGCTTGCTTTGATATTATAATGGGCAATAAACATAAAATATAGAAATAACGTCCATGCTGGAAATTAACAAAAAAACGCGCGCTACGTTTGAATTATCCAGTCACGCTCTTCCACGTATTGTCTTCTTCGCTTGGCCTATAACAAGAAGAGTCAAATAGCGGGGGTTTTTAACCCCCACAAACTGCAAAATGCAAAACAAGCGATTAGCTCTGTGCGTTATATAAATAGGGCGCGAGGGTTGGGTTGAGTTCGTCTGGCCTTGACGAATTCAACCATAGGTCTAAGAAGGTCCAATTTTTCCTCAATAGCAAACCCCTAATTTCGAAGCTTGGAAACCCTAGCATTCTCCAATGGCAGTTTTTGTTTTAGGGCACCATAATCAAATTAATCTGTACCATTAGCTTCAGAATGATGTTAGCAATGCAAAGCAATAATTATATCATGTCAATGATGCATAAAACTTGAGTTTCGATTCTGAAAAAGAATAAGCAAACTGTGATTCTGTTTGGACATGTTCTTGAGCTTTGAGGCTTGTTTTTTATTGCAACACGTTCTGGAAGCTCCCAGCAATGTATTGGAATCGTTCTAAGGCTTTGAATTGGTCTGCAATATGAAAAACAGTTTCAAGCTTTTCTTTGAATTTTTGGAATTTGACTATGGTTCTTGCAGCAGTTTTTTCACGTGAATGAATTTAGGTTTAGCTTCAGTATATGTAATGGAATGAATTAGGTTAAATCTTTTGTCCAAGAATCCATGGAATAATGTTTTGCATCTTTGATTTCCAATCAAATATTTTAGCATCTTTTGATTGAGAAAACTTTCTAAAAGTGGATGATTTTGTCTCCTTGATTGATACATGAAATCTTCAGCATGTGTTGAGTTTATTTGCATCACAAAAAGATTTGAAAACCATATCTTTTGAATTTTCCTACAATTAAAATCAATTAAATGAATTAATATTAATAAAAATTCAATTAATTAATTAAAAATAAGAAAATAAATCAATTTAAGCTTAATGGGTCGTGCATAGGCCTTGGACAATGTTTCAAGAAAGAATTTGAGGCCCATTAGCAAAAATGAAGTGTTTTGGGCAAAGTTGACTTTTGCAAATTCCCAAAAATTTCCCAACTTCTCCAATGCATATCTTGCTCAATTTTGATCATATGAACATGTTCTTGGACATTTTGGAAAGGTCTTGAAGTCCTCTAACCAATGCCTTTGGTCCCATGTCATTTTGATTTACCAATCTCAAGTTATGGTCTTTGACTTAAAGTGTCTTTTTGTTGACTTTTGAAATTGACCTATAATGTAGAAATTGATAACTTTTTGTGGGAGCATTTCTTGGATTTGGAATGTGAAGATGAGTTGTAGGAAATGTCATCCCCTTCAAAATGAGCATTGGATGGGATTTTTCTAATGAACCATGAAAAAGTTATGCTTTGGTCAAGTTACAGTTGACTTTTCAACTGTCCAAAAATAGAAACTTTTGCATCTTGATGATTTTTGAGCCATGCTTGTGGAATCATGATCAAGACTTGATAAAATGATGATTGTGGCTTCAAAATAAGATGTTGACCAAAAATTTTGACTTTTGACTGCCAAATGACCATTTTGCCCCTGCAGTTGATTGTGGAGCAATTAGGGCTTTTGACTGTGCAACATGATGCTGTGAGTCTTGAGACTTGACATGTAGATGCTTGGCAATGTATATAGGCATATGAGACTTGATTGAGCCCTTGAAAACCTCAACTTACTTGAGAGAAACAAAACCCTAATTTTGACTGGCTTAGGAGGATGTTTGACTGTGCAATCTTTGAAAAGTCTTGAACCATTTGAGGATGATTCTTGACAAACCTTTGAAGAATATGGGAGGGCAAATTTTGGGGTACAACACTCAGCAAACAAACCAGAACCTCATTTCAGAAGAAGGCAGAGTATCAAGCCAAACAGATACTCGAATTGATACATACTGATATATGTGGGCCAATTACTCCAGAATCCTTCAGTGGAAAGAAGTATTTCATTTCCTTCATTGATGACTACTCAAGAAAAACCTGGGTCTATTTTCTGGAAAAAAAATCTGAAGCACTAGAAGTGTTCAAGAAATTCAAAGTAATGGTGGAAAAGGCAACAGAAAGAAACATCAAATAAATTCGATCATACAGAGGAGGAGAGTATACTTCGATTGCCTTTGTGAAGTACTGTGAAGAACAGGGCATAAGAAGATTCCTTACTGCGCCATATTCACCTCAGCAAAATGGTGTGGCTGAAAGGAAGAATCGAATTATCTTTGATATGGTTCGATCAATGCTTAAAAGCAAGAGTATGCTGAAAGAGTTCTGGGCAGAAGCAGTACAATGTGTTGTTTACATTCAGAATAGGTGTTCATATTCGAAGCTGGAAGACAAAACACCACAAGAAGTATGGAGTGGACAGAAGCCAACAATCTCCCATCTCAAAGTGTTTGGTAGCATAGCTTATGCGCATGTACCAGACCAACAAAGAACAAAGCTCGAAGACAAAAGTCAGAAGTTCATATTCATTGGATATGATGAGAAGACGAAGGGGTACAAGCTTTTTAATCCCATAAGTAAGAAAGTGGTTGTAAGCAGAGACGTTCGAATGAATGAAGCCAGCAAGTGGGACTGGAACACTTCGACAGAGGTTGGTGACACAATCGAAGAAATAACTATAGTTGTACCAACAAACACTCCAGAAGAACATGAAGAAACAGAAGATAGAGATGAACCTCTACAACCCAGAATGAGAAGTTTGCAAGATCTGTATGAGTCAACAAGTGAGGTGCATCTTGTGTGCCTTCTGGCAGATGCTGAAAACATAAGTGTTGAAGAAGCGTTAAGAGATGAGAAGTCGAAAAACGCCATGGACGAAGAAATTAAAGCAATCGAACACAACAAAACTTGGGAGCTGGTCGAATTACCAAAAGGAAGTCAACCCATTGGTGTAAAGTGGGTATTTAAGAAAAAAATGAACGCCCAAAGAGAGATCGAAAGATACAAGGCACAGCTGGTTGCAAAGGGATACAAGCAGAAAGCTGGCATTGACTATGACGAAGTGTTCGCGCCTGTTGCAAGAATGGAGACAATTCAATTGCTCATCTCTCAAGCTGCTCAGTTCAAATGGCAAATATTTCAAATGGATGTCAAGACAACATTTTTGAATGGTGTGCTCGAAGAAGAAATCTATGTCGAACAACCACTTGGTTATATGAAGGCTGGAGAAGAGAAGAAGGTGCTGAAACTGAAGAAATCATTGTATGGGCTGAAGCAAGCACCTAGGGCATGGAACACACACATTGATACATATTTTAAGGAGAGTGGATTCGAGTAATGCCCCTATGAACCAGCGCTCTATGTGAAGAAAAATGGAGGTGATTTATTACTTGTGGCTCTGTACGTTGATGATCTCATTTTTCTAGGCAATAATGTTAAGATGATCGAAGACTTCAAAAACACCATGACAAGAGAATTCGAAATGACAGACTTAGGTCTGATGAGATTTTTTCTTGGTCTGGAGGTTCGACAGGAAGAACCTGGGATTTTCATATCACAAGAAAAGTATGCAAAGGAAATCTTAGAAAAGTATAAAATGAAGAATTGCAATCCAATTTCGACGCCAATGGAGCCAGGCACAAAGCTGTCGAAGTTTGATGGAGGAGAACGAGTCGAAGGAAGTAAATATCGAAGCTTGGTAGGCAGCCTTCGATATCTCACATGCACAAGGCCATATATTTCACTTAGTAAATATCTCGAAGGAAGAAAGACCCCATGAAGAACAAGGAAAAAAACTGATAATGAGAAAAGATAAAGAGAGAAACCAGGAAAGAGAAAGCTAGAGAAAATAGATCACAGATCATAAGAGGCTAGATGTATGATAATGCAAGATGGAAGAAAAGAAACATAATATGAAAAAGTGACGAGGAAAATACGTCACGTTTTTGCTAAACTAATTTCATAAACTATTAGTGTGTTTTCAACAATCATAAATATAAATAAAAAATATCATACTCTAATATAAAAAATATTAATTAGATGACACAATAAAAAAAATTATAGACTTAATATTATTTTTGGTCTTGTAAATTAAATTCAAAATTCATTTTAATTTCTTAACTTAAAAAATATTCATATTGATCGTTTAACGAAAAAAATTCAGAGATCAATCATTAAATTCATTATCAATTAAACAAAAATGACTTAAAAAGTTAAGATACTAATGAGAGCAAAAATGAACTAAACCAAAATCATATTAAAAAGTAAAAAGCAAGTTCATTAATTTTGGAATTTTTATGTGTGTAAGTGACACTCATAATGAAATGTAGGAGTATTAGCACCACCAAAACATATCAACTGAAACTAGTGCAAAATTAAATTTAAAAGAAATATAAGATGTTAAGAACATACTATTAAGCTCAGTGTCTTTAAGAAATTTCGCCATAAATCTAGAAAAACATGGAGAAAAAAGTGAAACCCAAAAATGATGGTTCAATGGGTCCATACTGCATACCACAAGGTCAAATATCATTTAAAATAGATCTGGCACAAGGCAGAGCTCTTTGGGAAGGAAAGCAATTCCATTTGCAATGCAAGCTTCTCTTCGGGATCCATGGAAGAGGGACTGCATATTGTCATTCTCCGTAGGTTTGCCGAATTCAGAATGATGTATTGTGCAAACATTAGCTCATATTTATGTCCTCTATAATTTATAATGTTGCACTCTTTGAGCTGTGAAAAGAGACCTTGGGGAGAAATACTCAAGATTGAGATGAAATATTTAACTGATGTTAAAAGTTGAGGCATTTCAAGGACAAGAGTTTGAAGTTTGGGGAATTTCTCCAGCACCCCAAATACCCAACACCAATCAACATTTCTTTGGAAGACAAGCTCCACATGAGTTAGATTAGGAAACACAGGAACATGGCCATACATCTACAACAATTAAAAATTAAAATGATTAAACATTTATAAATCATGATATAAATGAAAATGGAAATAAAATACCAGACACAACGACACCAATATAAGTAATAGTATGTCTGTTGAATTTTGTGACACGCCTTTAATCAGTGGTGTAAGTCAGATAAATAACAAATTACCTTTTCCATCCGGAGAAATTCGACATTAGAAAAGGCATCAAGAGGAACATCACAGCTATTCAAGTTAGATATATCTGCCCTAACCAAATTGGTTAACCTTTTAAACTTTCCATCATACTCCTCTAACCAGTACCTCGCAGATATATCTTTAGCTTCAAAATCTTCCAGAATTGGACAAGAATTAACAAGTTCACGAAGATACCAGTGTTCGGAAATAAAAACATCATTCAGATGTAAGGTTTTAAGTTTAGGTAACTCAACCGGCAAAAAATAATTCACACGTGTTGCTTTCAACTTGAGAACAACGAGATTACTAAAAGCAAATATAAAACTGTAAAAATTCAGCCTATCAGATCCTTGGAATTCAAGGTGTTCCATTCCACATTTTTCAGCGTCTGTTAACCACTTGACAACAACGTTTTCCAATATAGAATTTTCATGACATTTCAGGTGAAATGTTTTGATGAGTTTGCTACGATTAATTTTTGCATAAATAACACAGTACACCATATTCATGAAGAGATAATAAGGTTTTCCTCTATTCATAAATCTCTGATCATCCAAGTCGAGATTGGGGACTAAGAGCCAAATTGGCTCCCACCTTTTAGAAAGAAGAGTAGTGGTGAAAGCATCTTCGGTTGGAAGAAAAGAGAGAATGTGACTCAGGATTTCATCCGGCAACGTGCTTATCTTGTCTTCCATCTGCTTTTCAAAGTTTTGAGGATCAATTAGAAAACATGTAAGAATACTAATTCACACCAACAAAACAAAATTAGGGTTTTGGAATAAAAAACAACTAAAGAATTGACTTTTCAAACTTGTGCTACCAATATATGAATGACACATGGCTAGCTTGTTGATTAAATAGCAACAAAAACAGAAACGACAACAACACTTATACACCAGTAGCAATTACCGGTGGATGGTGGCTGCAGTCGGTGCCGCACGGTTTCGGTCCAGAATTTTCGGTTTTTTTCTTTTGGTCTCTTCTTCTGTGAACTTGTTCTCCTTTTATAGACTTAGGAATTAGGTTTTGATTGAAATTATTTTAGTCATTGGAGATTTGAAATGATTTTGTCGATTTTGTATTGAATGAGATTATGTACATTTGATTTTGGAATATTTGGTTTGACTCTGATTTTGGAAGGATTAAATTTGGAAAGAAGAAATTTCTCTATTTATTGATGAGGAGATGATTGTGATTGCATTTTAAGACTTTTTGGATCTCTTTTTTTGTTTTTTATCTTAAAATAAAATAAATTTATAACATAAAACCTAAATAGTGAAAAAGAAATAAATATCAAATCCCATCAATTAAAATTTTTTAATAATGTAATAAAGCTAAGACATTTACATAAAAAGTGACGAAAATTGTTAAAATAAAAAATGACAAAATAAATAATTATTATAAATTCTAAATGAAAATATCTAAAAAATTAAATATCTAAAAAGAATTTCCTAAAATGACAAAAGTCCGATAAATTTCTAAAAAAGGGAAAAGATCTTTATTTAACAAAAATTAGAATCAAACTTTTAAGACTATCCTAAAAGCTAAAGCAAAAGTTATTTTAATTTCAAATCCTGAAATCTTAAAATTGTTCTAATATTTTAATAGCTAAAAATTAAAAGCTAAAACATGATAAAAGTAAAAATAAAAAAAATTATACTAATGTTATAAGAACAAAAAATAAAGAATAGAAAAAAAAATTGTTCTAATAAAAATATGAAAAATATATTTAAATATAATTTAAAAAGAAAAAATTGAAAAATATGTATAAGAAGAAATTATACACTTATTATATTTTTATTAGAAAACAATAAAAATCACAAGAGAACTATACTCAAATTTGTTTCTCAAATAAAAAAGTACAAACTAGAGTTGATTCTTTATAAAAATAAATTTGATGAATGAGTCATCTCTTTAAATTAAAAAAACTATATTAATGGATTTCCTATATAAATAAGAACTCATTGACAAAATTCAAAAAAATAAATTGTAAGATAAATCCAATTTAAAATCGCATAAGAAAAAAATTATTTTTTATTTTTATCAAGCACCCGTTAATTGCGGTGTTGTAAATTTTAATTGGCTCTATAATGAGCCAAAGTCTAAGCACACCTTCAATAGTTTTATGCAAGTAATTTATTAGTTATAATTATTTTATAAAAACAATAATTGAAGGGTTTTTGTATTTTTTTGGATTTTTCTTATATATAAATTTTGTAGTACAATTATTTTATAAACAATACTATTTATTAAAAAATAAAAAATAATTTTTATAATTTAATAATAAATTAAATATATTAATATTTTTAATTTAAAATTATTAAATATGTATTAAGTCAATAAAATATTTATTTATTAAAAGATTGTAAAATTACATCAAAGAATAATTAGTGTGATGTTGATCGGTCATTGAAAGTGGTCGCTGATTTCACATTGAATAGAAATTCCCATTCGTTCCGTCCTATAGAAGTTGCTCCCCTTCGTTCCGTCCTTCGAGGTATATTGGACGGTCTAGCACATTCCCCACATCACCTCTAAGATTCATGAAGGTTGCGGGGGCTTCATGCGAGAACATATTATTGACCGCATGTTTCAATTTGGTTGGGTAATATTTTGGGTTGAGTTATCGAAATAGGAGATGTATCCTTGTCGTGGTTAAGATGGATTCAGATTGATTAATTGTGATAGATATAAAGTAGTTCTATATAGAAAAGTAACTCTATCAAAGGTAAAATTCTCAAAGGCTAAAATTAATGTTGATTCATTAAGAAGATCGAGATTTAAATGATGTGCTAAAAAATGGTAACTGTTGGGAATTACACCAAACCTATAGAGAATTCCAATCAATCTTGATGAACAAGATTCAATCACACGATCAAAATCCCTTGTTCTTCACTCTTCACTCTAGTGAATCAACCAACCTTGGTTGCAAGATGATTCTGCGTGGGAATTACTAATGGAGAAAATGAGAGGATAATTGGGGAAGAAGAAGAAGTTAGGGTTTGAACAAAGGAAGAAATAATTTTGCAGAGTTTCTCTCTGCCCATAAATTATTTAAAACTTTATTCTTTGCAACTGCAAATTCAGTGTGTTCAAGTGTGTTTCTATAATGGGGGTTATACCATCTATTTGTACTTTTAGGTTAACTTAGTCCCTAAGTCAAAGTGAAAAATACCTATTTTGGTATAAGTCAAAATCATGTGTCATGCAACCTAATTCGAAAATTCGATATCTAATACAACTCGACACACATTAGATTATTTTGACACAACCTTATTATTGTCGAGCAATATGCTGCTTTAACACAAGGGATTACAATATCAATACACCACCTAATTCATTGTGTCTAAGCTATCTACATTCATCATAGATCTTAACTTCTTAAGCACTTCGATTTGTGTAACACCCTAAATTTCCCCGAATAACATTTTAAATAAAATCAGATTAAATTAAAATAATCCACACATTTAGGATGTCACAATAATTCATCAACATGCTCATGTCTAAGATACGCAACACATATTAAAATATAAACCACATAATTATCATGTTTGAACTTCAATGCCTTTATTAGCAGCGGAAAACATCAACAATGTTTAATCCCAACTCTTCAACATGAGTTATAATCATAATAATCCAAAATAACATAATCACCAAATATATTCAACAATTGGAGTTATACATAAATCGAATCCCAACATAAATAAAACAAATTCTATTCCTCCAGTATTACGTATCAGACAGACACCGACTCAATCTACACAATACGAGGCAACTTCCTCGGCTAACCTCAGCTTCGAGCTACTCCTGATTATCTGTATGATGTCGCATAAAGCATCATTCCAACAGAAGGGTGAAATATCATGAATATAAATGGAATGCATAATAATAAGTGAAAAACAACTTTACAAGCGCAACAATACATTTCAATCACATATCACACCCATACAACACAACAACAATACACCAATGCAGTGCAATGAGACTCAACTGTAAGAACAAGATTTGGTTCTGCAATATTATCTTTGAGTTTTGATGATAACAAATGAGTATATTTGTGTGAACCATTTTGTTGTACTAATGTTTGTTATTGTTGAGTACTCAACAAACAGGTTCTGCCATGGCGAAGACATTTGAAGAGAATTAGTTATGCCTTTGCACTATACAAGTTCTATTGAACAGTAGCAAGATACTTCAGAAGGCTCTTAAGTGTAAGCTCTGTTGTTTGTCTAAAAATCCCAGTCAAAAGATCTGAAGACAGAAGTTGCTACTTACGTCCAAATGCTGAAGACTCAAGCTTCTAAAGACAACGTGTTCTAAGGAAACAATCAAAAGATCTAAAGACAGAAGTTTCCACTTAAGTATAGATGCCGAAGACTCATGTTTCTAAAAGTCAGTGTGTTCTAAAGAAACAAAGTTGGAAGATTTGAACACAAAGTTTCTACTGAAGTCCAAATGCTAAAAACATAGTTTCTAAAATACAACTTGTTTTAAAGAAGACAAAGTTAGCAGATCTGAAGACAATGTTTCTAACTGAAGTCCAGATGCTGAAGATTTTATGTTTCTAATAAGAAGGTTCTAAAGACAAGGATTCTTAAAGAACCAAGTGCTAAAGGTTCTAAAGACGGAAGGTCTGAAGATTCCAAAGACTTGAAGTTCTAAAGGTCCAAGATTATCTACAACGGGTTCTCAAGACCAAGTGATGAGGACTCTAAAGACGCAGCTCTTAAGACTCTGAAGACTTGAAGCTCTTCTGATACAAGGTTCACTACAACGGGTTCTCACGACCAAGTGTTGAAGACTCTAAAGACATAGTTCTGAAGACTCTGAAGACTTAAAGTTCTGAAAGACCTTATGTTATGTTTCTGCTTCTAACCTCATGCTCGCAGAAGCCTCTGAAGTGAAGTAGGAAAGAATATAACGGTAACATGGTACAATAGTACACAGTACAAAAAAGCCTTATTCCACTACCTTACCACTAGCTTGAATTATGGAAGAGATAAGGACGTAGAAATACTATTTGTAATAATTCTTTTTCAAATATCCAACGGCTCTATTTTGCTTGGCTATATAAGAAAAGAATCGTATATTTAAAGTTGTTGAATTTTGCATATAGCCAGTTGCAACGTTGTTGGCATTTAATGTCAAAAATCAAATATGCCATTATTGGAACATAACCAAAAAGCTACCAACCACTATAACAACAACATGAATTCTACAAGATGTTATTTAAACTACCAAACATATACATCTTGGAAGAATTTTGAAAAATCAAGGAGTTGTTGCTCATATCTTGCTTCATGAAGAAAGAAGATGAAGATGAAGAATTCTACAAGATGTCATTCAAATCATCAATCATATACATCTTGAAAAATATGAATTCATTCCTTCGGAAAAGGACCTAGCCATAGTTGTCTATGAAAAATTTGTTCCTAAAACCTTGGATGAATGCATTAACATTTTTAGAACTAAGGCTATGAAAATAGTTTTGAAATTAAGCACAGAGGAAAGTACAAGTACTGAGCCTCAGGACATGGATGGTTCTTGGAAGAAGTTTTATAAGTGGATGTCTTCTAAAGTTGAAAGAATGAATTCTTTTGCTAAAGCATCCATCGTTTGGGATGTTCAGATGGTAACTGAAAGAAGAGAAACAAGAGAAAGAGTCAGACTTGTTGAACTACTTGTTGTAAAACAA